GCGAAAGACTACGCCTTATAGTCAGAATCAAGACCTTTCTAAATCGATACCCGGGTCTCTTTGACTCTTACTATGATCGAATTAAACCCAAAACCAACCAGGTTTTGTTTTTGCGTCCCAGTGAGAAGCTTAGAGATTTCCTTGAAGAGGAAAGAAAAATATATGTTCAAAATGAGGAGTTGATTGTGGCTAAGTTGTGTAAATTGTTGATGATGTCTGAGGATAAAGTAATTAGTATTGATAAATTGGTTCATGTGAAGAGAGAATTCGGGTTTCCAAATGATTTTTTGGTTAATTTAGTGCCTAAATATCCTAATTATTTTAAGTTAGTTGGGTGTCCTGGAGAGGGAAAATCGTTCTTAGAGTTGGAATCTTGGAATCCTGAGTTCGCGAAATCTGTTATTCAGGTCAGAGCTGAAGAGGAAGCTAAAGTAACTGGGATTCGTGTTAGACCTAACTTCAATGTGAAGTTACCTTCAGGGTTTTACTTGAGGAAGGAAATGAGAGAGTGGACTAGAGATTGGTTGGAGCTGGATTATATATCTCCATACGAGGATGTATCGAGTTTACCACAATCTTCAAGAGAAATGGAGAAAAGAACAGTTGGGGTTTTTCATGAGTTGTTGTCTCTATCGATTTTCAAGAGAGTTCCTGTGCCTATATTGGGGAAATTTAATGATGAGTATAGGTTTTCCAATGCATTTTCAACTGTGTTCACTAGGCATTCAGGAATATTTTATATGTCTTTGAAAGGTGGCATTAAGACTGCAGTGCTGAGGGAGGCGTATAAGGATAGCGAGTTGATTGATAGGGATCCGTTACTTGAGATTAAAGATAAGTTTGTTGAGTTGTTGGAGGAAGGAAGGCAGGAGAGAGTTGAACAGTTGAAGGTGCAGAGAGAGCAGCTTAAGAAGGAGATAGAGATGACGGCCTTGAGAAATGAGGAGGAGGAATTGTATGAGCATGGGTGCAATGAGCAGATGTGAATCTGAAAGTTTATAGGGAATATGGTGGGAAAGTTTCACAATGTAAAACCTCATAACAGGTATAAAGCCTTTAATTTCAGAGTAAAAATGATTGTTGATATTGAGTTAATTTAATTTCTTATTGTGAGAGATGGTTGCTGCCTCGTCTTCAAGATTCTGCAAAATGTTTGTTGAATATACTGTTGAGCAGCCTGATATTATTGTTAAGGTATAATTTAATTGTTGAAGTCACTAAATTTTGTGCATTGAGAGGGTGAAACTTCTTTTCTTGTTTCAACTATGGCCTTTTTCTTGTCTGGTATAGTTGTTTTGGACATGACAGCAATTATAAAAGGTAAATTGTGGTATGCTTTGTAAAGTTTTTCCCTTGGAAAATGTTTTTCATATCCCATCCACCAATGTTTTTTTTTCAATGCACTTCACAAAATGTATGTATTGACAGCAATTAGTGATGCAAACCCAAAGGTCGGATAACCTGTAAATACTAGGATTTGGTCTCTGTTTTCTAAAGAAGTTGTGTAGAGTACAAATTAAGCATGCTTTTTTCTGTTCTCTATTTAGTTACCAAGTATGCGGCATATAGATTGTTCACAATAGTATTTTGATATCAGTTTTGGTTACCAAAGATACTGCCTACCAGATAGATTGTTCACAAGAATACTATAAAGTCACGTTCTAATTTGTTGCTTGTTAAAGCCCTTGTTCATATTGGAATTGTTGAGACCTGTGTGTCTCATAAGTGCTGAGTGCATTTAGTGAGCGATCTAATGGGATTGTATTTTGTTTTTTTTCTCATATCATGTGTACAGTTTCTTAACTCCCAGATTTTTAGTTTGATTGTTGACTTTAGTAGACATTGGAGGGATGAAAATATTGGATCTTTAAGGAGATTGGCAAATCTAAGTCATTGTTAACTGGATATTTGTTTGATTGTGTCTGTTAAGTAAACTCTAGAGGGTAGAAAAGTTTGATCTTTTAGGAGATTGATGAATCCAAGACATTTTGGTGATTCTGATCCTGCCTTATTAGTTTGTTACCAGTTTGATAATTGGATGTCATTCTGCCTGCTTCTTTTTCAGGATTGGCGATTGTGTTATTACTTGTTTGACTGATTGTCATTAATGAGAATATTTGATCAGTAATAGTTTTAATCTGATGAATTAAATGTTTGTTGCTATCCTTTTCAGGTTTTGATATTGAGCACGTCATCAGGAGACAAAAGTATTGTTTGTTGAATTTTTTAGGTGCCTGCTGAAGTTTTAAACGTATAAAGGATCTCTTGGATCCCCTTTTGCTATTGTTCACAGTTTGGTTTGTCTCACCTGCAGTTATTAGCCAGTAGTTGAGGCCAAAACCTTTTCAATGTATGCCAAATGTTGGACCTTGGAGAGGAAATAGTTTGGTTTAATCGATAATGAATAACGGTTTGGTTTCTTCTATCAGATTATTATTTAGATTTGAGACAAATTTGTGCTTTGCCGAGAATAGCAACCAAAGGGATTCTTTTCTTATTTTCAATGGGTAATGTAAATGTTGTTCAGCTTCAGTTACTCTATGCTAATCAGGTTAAACTTAGGGGGCGTTTGGTAAGGGTTATATGGGATTACCAGGGTTATGTCATTTTATATTATTTGATTACCACGTTTGGTTGTTAAAGTAATATACGATTCCGGTAATCTTCAAATATCAATAGTAGTTACTGTTAGTAATATTGAAAGTAATCTGATAACCTTTATTTTTTTAGGTATTGTAAGATTACTAAGGTAATCTTATTTTTGTTATAATTTTATCTCTTATTAATAAAATTTTTGGACAATAATACCCTTGTTTTAAAATTAATTTATATGAATCTGTCTTTTACAAATTTACCCCAATTAATTAACTTTTTGGACAAAATTACTTTTGAATTTAAAACAAATTGTAGTCCACCCAAGTCACCACCCCCAGCTACCTGTCGCTACCGGTGGCTAGTCGTCACTGCCGTCGGAACGGTGCACAGAAGGTCAGAAATGATCGTCGTGCGCTAATATGGTCATTTTCAACTAAAGATTTGGTCAGAAACGATTAGATTAGATCTAACCAAAATACGGTTAGATCTGTCACGATTTGGCCATTTTCGGCCTTCCATGTGCTATTAGGTTGCCAGCTATCGGTGACCGACAGTGGTTGCCAGCGGTTGGGTTGGTGGGTGTGCATTGTTAATTTTTCAAACTTTTGTTATGGGTTTGTTTTTGTTAAGTTTTTAAATGTAGGTGGGTTATAAATAATCTAAATAATAATATTTAATTAGAGGATAATTTAGTAATTTAAATAACATACCCACCAATTTATTCCTTCCAACCAAACATATTAATATAATATACTTACCAATTTATTTAATTAGACAAACACATTTTCTTAAACATTCTCAGTAATCTTCAAGGTAATACTTCTTTTTATTAATATAACATTCCTAGTAATATAACATTCCCAGAACCAAACTTACCCTTGTGGGCTATTTGATTGGGGGTTATCTCTCATTACTGGAAAACACACCCTGAGGGGTTGTTTGATTGGGGGTTATCTCTCATTACTCTAGTAATGTTATCTATTACTGACATTACGATGTTTGATTGTCAAGTAATATAAGATTCTGATAATCTTCTAAAACCAATAGTAATCACTTTTGGTTATACAAGTGGTAATATGAGTACGACATTTTTTTTAGGTATTATAAGATTACTTAGTAATCTTACTTTTATTAAGTTTTACCCCTTATTAATAAAACTTTAGGACAATACTACCCTTGTTATCTAAACAATTTACAAGAATTTTTATGGACAATTTTAGCCTTATACATAATAATATTAAGACATTTATACCCTTGCACATCCACCAAATTACTCAAGACTACAGCTGGCCACTGGCCACCGTTATCGGTAGTCAGCGTCCATCGTCGAAACGGGGCACGATCGGTTGGATCTGCCTGGCTGTTTATGGCCAAATCGATGGCCGAAAACTACCAGATGGCCATGGATCTTACTATTTCTAGCTAGATCCATGGTCGTTAATAGCACAGCCAAATCCATGGTCATCTGGTCATCCAAATTGATGCACGGTCGGCCAAATCGATGCACGATCGACCATATCTAGCCAATCATGTGTCGTTCAGGCCACGACCGACTGTGATGGTCGACCGTTGACATCGGCTTAGGTGGATGGGGGTGTTATTGTTACAATTTAAACTTTTATTGTAGCTTGAGTGTTTTAGCAAAATCTCAAATGTAGGGAGTTAAAAAATAATCAAACAATAATAATATAATAATATTAAAAAAAGAAAGATAATTTAGTAATTTATATGAGATACTCACTCATTAATTTTTTTCAAACAAACATATCAATATAACATACACATAAATCTTCAACGGAATCAATCTTTTATATAATATTCTCTTAACCAAACGCAACCTTAGTGATTAGTGTTGTGTTGTTAAACTACTTGGATGCAAAATCCTGTAAACCAAAAACCGTATTTCACATAATTATGATTGTATTGATATGAATGACCGAATTTATCCGGAGGCATTTAATCTCCTTATCATTCCAATCTTCTTGTCAAAGAGCCGGCACCCCAATTTGCATGAATTTCATTGTACATGCAATCTTTACCTTGTTTACATTGCTTTTAATTGTTGTTTAATATTACAAAATAGGGTGTCAATTGGCTTCTTCTATAAGCAAATATAGTGGGCGCAAGTTTGTTGGTACGCAACAGCCCCTAAAATCAGTCAGTACTTGACCTAACAAATCGCCACACAAAATGAATGAAACATACACAACCAATGAGCACCTGAACTCTTCCATAACATCAATAAGAAACTGGACTCACTCCCTTTATCTTCGCTATTTTAAATTCTTCATAATCCCCACGAAATCACATTTAAAGGAAACAAGAAATTTATGAATGCACAGGCATAAATAGCAACAACAACTAGTCTGAAATACCAATACCAAAAGAAAATGAAGGTAGTTTCAATGGAGGGAATCAAGATTCTTTCATTTGCACTCTTTATGTTTCTGGTACTCCTCTCTACCAATATAGAGTGCCAGATGATGCCACGGCCGCTCAAGCCGAAGCCATTAACACCACCAATTCCTGTACACCCACTCTGTGTCTCCCAATTCCGTCTTGCAAACTATGCATGTTCAATGCTGCCATACAGCCCGGCTCCACCTCTACCACCTAACCCGCCGACACCTTCCCCTCCGCCTGATGATCATTCAAGCCACAGACACGGACACGGACATGGACACGGACATGAACATGAACACGGACACGGACACGGACATGGACATGGACATGAACATGGACACGGACACGGACATGGACACAAACACAGGCACCATCATGGATCTGGAGAAACGCCCCAGGAAGGCGATTGTTGCCGCTGGTTGAAGGAGGTAGACAATGAGTGTGTCTGTGATTTGCTGGTTCACTTACCTGTCTTCCTTGCCAGGCCTGTGCACGAGTACAATGTCATTGTTGATGAGTCTTGCAACGTTACTTACAGTTGCTCAGGGCGCTTAATTTTAACATAATGGAAAAAAAAAATGTCATGCTTATATTTGGTTACAACTAAACTGAACTGTGATTTTCTTCTTAAATATGAGTCAGTTTTAGCTCATTACTGTTATGTTTGTAGTCTCTAATGTCAGTTCTTGTAATAATAATTATACATTAATACTGTTTCATCAGTTAAATTCACAACTAGCTGCTGCATTCTTACAGGGAAGTGCTTATGCATTTAAATTTATTAGATGAATGAAAATGACTGCTTATTGAAAGTAGAAGCTGGAATTGGAAATGCTTATTTTTTTTTTTTTTTTTCTTCATTGGATTTTGTATAACAACAATCCAAGCTACAAGTTTGGCTTGGACCTTTCTTTATCACAGTGCAACAGATGAATCATTTGACATCATAAAACGGAATTGCTTTTAGCTAAAGTTTTTCAATCTTCTTTCTTTCTTTCTTTCATCAATGGATTCGTCTCGCATTTTTCCCATTACGTCCATGAGAGAATATTTTCAAGAGTTATCGAAGACGACAAAAAGAACCTCTTTTTCAAGCTACAAGATAGTGACTGATTGACAATAAGTTTTATTCCAAGTTTACCTTCTTCTTCAAAAACGAATAAGTTTTATTGGACTTTACGGTTTGCTCAACTACCCTGTCTCATCTCCTCTCCCAATCATTCTTTCCTTCTCCCCAGAGTTAAAAGACATAAACCATCTCTCGCTCACCCAAAAATCCCAACTTTTTTAAATAACAAAAATCCCGCTTCCATAAACCGTTAAATTAACTCTTTTCTTTATAATAAATTCACTAACATCTTAGTATATCGAAGAACCTCTTCTCTCCTTTATCAGGTGGTCCATCACACCCGGTGCCCAGAACCTATCCAATAATCCAAACATCTTTAATTTTAAAGCCAAACCCATTTGATTGGTGAAAAAAAAAAAAAAAACAAAGTTTTTTCTTTTTTCTTTTTAATTATGGATGCTCATCAAGGCAAAACCTTATCTAACGAGGTTAAAAGTTGAAAGTGATGGAGTAAAGATACGAATTCTTCTGAGTTTAACCCATTAATTTTTTACTTCTTTCTTTTGTGGGTCCTTGGAGTATTTGATTTGATGCAGTCTTTTTAATTTATGCTTATACGCGTAAGGATATATCATGGTGGATTTAAGTGGGATGAAAGAGACAATGGGTTTTTGGATGGAACACTTTCACCACCAATAAATCAACAAATTGTTGCTTGTACTTTTCTTCTTCTTCTTCTTCTTCCTCTGATCATTCTTCCCACTCATAATGCACTTAAATCATCAAAACTATTAATCATGCAACCAAAACCAAACTTGGCAATTAGAATATCTTCTTCTTATATTCTTCTTTTTATGCATATGCCCTTTTTTTTCCATTTCACTACTGACTGTCTGCAAAAGGGCTCAAGATTCTTAAGCAATCGAGATCATGGGTTACCACCATTGAGTTAATGGGACCTGAGGCTGAGAGAGAGAAGATAACAATTAAAGAACAGATAAATTCGTACCCACTAATGCAGTAATGCTACGGAAGTCAGCGGCTTCTCTGTGTACGGCTGTATATGCTCATTGGTGCGGTGGATTGTAGCCGCTGTTACCATATTAAAAATTATCACATGTGCTTACATTTAACTAAACTCACGGGATATTTTCAGCAACATCTCGTATGTATAGCACTTCTACACCAAGGGTATGATTTGGCCTCCTGTAAAACTTTTGAGTTCGAATCTAGTCTCAAGCAACAACCCTGAGGCCGAATCTGGCCTCTAGAGGCCTTACTGGTGTCGTGATCTCATTTTTTGGCCTTCAACAACACTAGGAGGCCTTGTGCTACTACTAGGAGGCCTTGTGCTACTACTATGAGGCCTTGCAACATCCACCGATACTGTGATACCTCCATGGCCTCAAGTGGAGGCACAGAATCACCGCTAGCAGTGACTCTGAGTCTAACGGCAACTGCAGGGAAAGGGTAATGTGGTAGAGTTTTAGGGGTAAAAATGTCATTTTTAAACTTAAAGGAATATATATTTTTGAAAGGGGCTAGACCGCTAGAGTCCTAGTCCTATTTCTGATACTTAAAGGCAGTCTTGCAGAATCATTATACTTATGGTGTTCTAAAAGAGGAAGCATCTTTTACCCACCCAAGGTTTGCCTTAATGACACTTTTCCACTCAAAAAGTTTCAAAATGTCACTTTCTCACCCAAAGTTAATATTCTGATACTACCCAAAGATGATTCTAGTGGCTAAAATTCTCTCTGTCACTACCATTTGAACTTCTAGTCTTCTCTCTACAAAACCTCTCTCACTCTGACATTTAATTTCTCGCTGATTGCCGGTCATCACAAAGCTAGATTTCCTGTTCTTAGCTGATTTTCGACTGATTTTGATAGTGAATATTCAATCGATCACCACTATTCAATCCATCGGCCTTCACACTACAAAAACTCACCCTCTTACCCTGGTTCCTGGTAGGGATGGGCGTTTGCCCCAGCCCCGCGAAGATTCGACCTGACCCAGCCCAAATGGAGCGGGGAATCCCCGGAAATCAGGGATAAGGCTGGGGACAATCCTCAAAAAAAACCTCGCCCCCGTGGAGCCCCGCATTTTTTTATTGAGAATTTTTTTTTTCTTTGCAAGATTGTATATAAAGTTAGAATTTAAATCATAGTTTTAAGTAATGAATCTAAATTTATGATATTTACTTTTATAATACTTTCTAATGTTTTTATTAAATTTATAGAAAAAATAATTTAAATGAGGGAGTCTAATAATTAAATATATATATTATTACTTTGTGCATTTCACAAAAAAATAATACATGGCCCAAAAATAAATTTGATTATGTTATTATAATTTACCAAAACAATATAAGAATATACACAATTGCTTAACGACTTACAAATTACACAAATTTAATTATCCTTGTAATTAGTTAATGGGTCAATTAAATATAATGTTAAACTTAATCAATGTTGGGAACTTGGGATAATGAGATTTGTCCCTTTAAAAAATGGACTAATTTTATTAGTTGTAGTGGAGATAATGTTTTATGAATTAATTCATCAATTTACCTAGCAAATTATGTTAAAGTTGAATTTAGTTATATTAATTTTGTGAAAAATTAATTAATTAACAGGACTAACTAAGCCTAAGCTTTCATACAATTGAATAATTAATCAATTTACCTAATAAATTTGTTAAGATTAGATGGCGTTTGGTTTACAACGATGTTATCGGGATTGTATTGATATTTTGGCGGTTCAGATTCGGGTTCAAGGTCAAGTTAGGTGTAGTATTCAAACTATACTGTTTCATTCAAAGTTTCATCAGGTTCAGAAAGTACCTCATCGAAGCCTAAAAGTAGATTGAACAGGTGGGAGAGAGAGGGGAACTACAGCAGTATTTAGACATGTTATCAAGCTATTTCCTTCTTCTAGAGAGTTCTTGGGTATCTAGAGTATCATGTCTCTAGATTGGAGGAGATGTGCAACAATAGGTATATCATCATGGTATTCTCTTCAAAAACACCATCCATCTCCCCCCGAAGAGGAAAGCCATCAGTAGAGAAATAGGCCAAATCCTCATTAAAAGTAACATCCATAGTAACATACATCTTTGAGTGGATGGGTGATAACAACGGTATCCTTTCTGATGAGACCATATCCCACAAAAACACATGTGACCGGAGGTGACAGTTTGCTACGTTGATGAAAGTGAACATGGACTACGTAACACACCTAAAAACTTTGGAAGGGAGATTAGAGACAAGGGACATATTCTTTATCTTTGTAGTGAGGACCTAAAGTGGAGTTGGAATGCAAGAATACTAGAAGGAACTCGTTGATGACATAAATAGCAAATAGTAAAGCACACTGCATAAAATTAGGAACATTATTCAAATAAGAAAGCTTGAGTAACCTCTAGAAGTAGGCGATTACGTCACTCAACCACACCATATTGCTGTGGTGTATTTGCACAAGATGTTTGATGAATGATGCCTTGTGATTGAAAGAAAACAGCAAGATCGTTTGAGATATTCACCTTCATTGTCTAAACGCAGTACTTTGATAGTTGTAGAAAATGATTTTGGACCATAGTGCAAAATTGTTAAACAACATTGTTCACATCACTCTTGTGCTTAATTAAATAAATCCATGTAATTCAAGTAGTCAGTTATCAATGAAGGTAATAAACCATCGCATACCACCAGAAGTAGAATGGTGTGAAGGACCCCATACATCCGAATGAATGATAGTAAATGGCATTGATGCTTTATTATCAACTTTTGGAAATACTGTACAGTGGCTTTTAGCTAAAATACAGTCTCACAAGTAGAACATTTGAATTCTTATTATAAGACTCAAACAAAGTAGGTAAAGAGCTTTAAGTAGCCAAACGATGGATGTCTAAGACGTTGATGCCATAACCAAATCAATTTCTCATTTCCCAATACATGCTTAGTGGTCTGGTTTGCTGAAATACTTAACTTGGAGCCATGATGAAAGTACCACAAGTCACCTCTCTTAAACTATGTCCCATGTCTTCCTGAGTATGAAGATCCTGAAAAGGCAATGTTTCGGAAAAAATGACAGGAATATGAAGTCACTAGTGTAGACACCGTAATAAATCAGTCTCTAAGTGGGAACCAGGAGAACATTGAGTAACGGTATATGGGTGGAAGTTGAATGGTACCAATGCCAGTAACAGGTTTATCTAACCAAGTGACAGTTCTAAACAATATTTGAGAGTTTTTAGTGAGGGTAATGAATTTCTTAGGGTATTAGTCATATGATATGTGCTCATGTGTAATTATCCATGCATTATCACAAGCAAACAGAGAAGTACATGAGCATAATCAAAGTAACTGACTTGGTCTCATCTGATTCTCAATGGTTGAATGGTAGCAAGTGATGCTCTATTCCTGTTTTTAGCAATAAGCTCATCTGCCCAATCAGGTCGACCATGAAGTTCCAGCATTGTCACAGTATGATTTTT